ATATATATATATATATATAATTACATATATTATGAAACTGTAAATATAGTAAGTTTTTATTATTTTTTATTTTATAATAAATTTCATAAAAATAAAAAACTTTTTAGATATTTTAAATACAATAATTTATTATGATTATGATGATGTCATTAAACATATTTGAAATTGAATCATAAACTTTTTGTAATTATTAGCAAATATACTTTTATTTTATATATTAACTTAAATTATGTTACAAATATCATTATCTTATAACATAATATTATAATTTAAAAAAAATGTTCAACCGTATATATAAAATGCAAAACAACATTAACATATTTATATTTTTTTTTTCAAAATTTTTAAGAAAACGTTTTAACATTAATTTTATTTCATAACGTTTTTAAAATTAATAAATATTTTGACTGTAATAAAATTTTATTTATGTGTATTTGTGTAATATTTTTATACAATTGTTTTCCTTTTATCTAATTTTTATTTACCATTTCAATTTAAAATCTATACAGTCATTCATTATGTTTTAATATTTGCTAATTTTTTATATAAAACATTTGATAATATATTTTTTAATATTTTCTTAAAAAACAATTAATATTAAAATCATAAGAAAATAAGTATGAATGTATCAGTTATCAACATCAATGTAAATTTGACCAGTTGAATATGAGAATAAGATGGAGGACGAGATGGACAATAAAATCTGTGCCGGCTATGTCCTCTTACCATATTCTAATATAGATTAAAAAGATTTTATAACTTAGATATAAATAGAGAAATCAAACACATATGATAAAAAATATTATTATAACACTTATTAATTTTGAATTTTACATATTTAAAAAGTAAGTAAAATGTTTAGAGAAATAAAATTTTAATAAAAATAAATAATTCACATTATAATATATTTATGTTATAAAGAAATAAATAATTTATCTTTTTTATTCATTTAAAATCTTATATTTAATAAACGTACGCGCAGTCTTGCAAATGAAATTTTCGAATTTGCTTCTGGACAAGAACGGCCTGACTTGCATCTTGAACTTTGCACCATTGGGAGTGTACAGGACAATTATGGAGGTGTAGAAAGCAAATGGCTTACAAAAGCTAAAACTGTTCTGACCACCACAGTGACCTGTCACAAATAGGAGGGAAATGAAAAATTTCGTTTTAAAATGTAAAAGCACAAGAAGAGTGAACTATTCATTTTCAACAAGGTCCCGCTCTCCCTACCTCTCACTCAATCTTCCCCCATCCTCTGCTTCGCAGGAACCCATACGACACCGTCCGCCGTGGAGTATCGCACGTCACGATTCACCTCCTTTCTATTTGGTTTGTTCCTTTTCCTCCTGCTTCTGATTCACCTTTATTCAATTCAAATTTGAAAACCTAAGCTATCCTTCTACATGCCCTCATCTGCTACCGCAATTTTCAGCACACAAAACTTGCTCTCTCATTGTGCAATTTGTTAATTCTATTGTAATTTTTTTCTTTCTTGCTCATTGAATCTGCACTTACAGATTAATCTCGATGACGCTTGGTTGGTAAAAGTACGCATAGCGGAACGAGGCATGGCAAAGGTGGCTAAACCGAGTTCTCATCGAATTGGTTCGGTGCCTTTGAAAAGTGGACCTATGGTTAAGAAGAAGACACCTTCGGAACTCAGGGTTGGTTGCTGAACTTGTGACCTTAAGTATTTGTCTGGACTTTTATTCTAGCTTTCAATTTCTGTGATTATTACAATGGAAGCTGTTTAAGTTAAAGTAGTTCATCATCCATGTCCGAGCATGATTTCTGCCGTAATGGTTACATATTTTGTGGTATATAATTCATTTTTATCCGTGCAAGGATGATTTGTATGAGTGCATTTTGTTTGGCTTGCTGTATGCTCTCAAGGCTGTCTTGAAGCGAACTTTAGAATTATAGTTTGTGACATATTTCATTACATCTCTATTATTCATCATGTAATTGTATATGTTCATTTATCGTTTCAACCGAAATGGATGCTGCCATACCCCTCAGTGTATAGTCATAGCACATTTAAATTTAAGATTCGTACAACAATGTCTCCCTGTTCATATTGATAACTAGCATTTAATTGTAGCGGAGCAAAAATGTAGATATCATTATCATACTGTAAATTCTTGACAGGGAGAGCTATTGAAACGGGCAAGCTTTCTGGATAATAATGCTGAATCTCCACCCCCCTTGGCTGATACTGCTAAGTAAGCTTCTGTTTCTCTTTTAATCTATTATTTCATAATTTACTGAGAACTTTTGATTTATGTTTGCAGGACCACTGAGGTGAGCAATGGATTAAAAAGAACAGGGTTATGGAAGCCCCCTAGATACACTAACACACGGGTTGATGAAGTATTTGCTGCAAAAAAGCCCAGGTTTAAAATTGCATCTGGAAAAGAAAACTCAAAGGTTACTATTTTTTTGCCCAACTCATGGCTCATTTAGTTTATTCAATTGACATCTTCCCAAATCAATGATCCCTAGATGTTAATGTTGTTGTTACTGAACAATGAAATCTTGTTACTGTGCTCAGGGTATTCCATCCTTGGAACAAACAAGTAATCTGAAAAATCTTTCAGTTTTTTCGATTTTGGAGGCTAAGAGACAGCAAGAAAATTCATGGTTTGCCTGATAATCCTGTTGTTTGCTTGATCCCATGGTCTTGTTTTACCAATGCTGATCTTGTTCCAAATTTGTTGTCAGCCCAAAGACTTCTGATGTGTCTTCTGAGCCTGGCAAAGATAGCGTCTTACAACCTTGTCAAACATTTGGAAAGTGCAGTCAAGGGAAATTTCGCAGTGTTTCTGAACTTTCAGCAGCCGTTGATATATGTTGTGGCTCAGGTGCTATTGACCTGGTATACAAAGACCGTGTTTGACCCTTTCTCAACTATTTACTTGTACTTTAGATTCTCATTATCAGGTTATTAATTGCAACAATAATAAATTGTAGGGAAAAGCATTAAGAGGACTAGCTGCACCTGAAGAACATTATGCTAATGACAAAACTGCTGATTTGGCTGATGGACACCCTGTTTTAGGAAATTTCTTGTCTGAATGCAATTTAATTGGCCAGAAGGTCCCTTTGGATCTTACTTTAAAAACCAGTATGCGAATTGTATCGTCATCTGTGAACAGGTGAGTCTTAAGTTGTGATGAAGTAATTGCACCTGACTGAATTAAAAAGCCTTTAGACTGGGATTTGTGGTTTATATATTGAAAGGTGTGGTATTTTATGTTTCCTTAATCATTTTAAGGAAGATATTCTGATTTTATACTCAATGCTGATAGATGCACTGTGGGTGAAACATTTTAAAAATAATGATGAGGTAGAGCTATATGGTGAGATTTTAGTTTCATGACATTTCAGAAATTGATAAGAAAAATATTGACATTTGATATTGTAATAGAGTAGTTGATAGAACTAAGGCATTTATCATGCATGTGAGATATATCATGATTTCAAGGTTTTCATTGTTTGTAAACCAGGGTGCCTAATGCTTGTATAACACCCTATTTTTTTATTTTTAAGTAGCCATGGTATGCTAACATTAGTTTTTTTATTATTTCTATTATGAAAAACTGTTTAGTCCATATACAGAGCTTGTTTGGCTTAGATTGATAGGTTGAACAGGGAACTATTCTCTTCAGTTTTTCTATGTATTTTGAAGTTGCAGCACCTATTTTTATGAGTTTTGTGTAGTTTTTTCTTTTCTTGTTTGCTCTAGTGGCAACTATCCTTGAAGTCCATTCTTGTTTAATGCTATTTTGACTTTCAAATTTC